AAACCGGGTTTCGATACCCGTGGTGGGCAGAGCACAGATAGTTCATTGTGCAGCTTTGTGCTTAATTAAAAACAAACAAACAAAAACAAACATAAAGATCGACAGTTAGTGATTTCATCTCCAAGATACATGTTGCCTTTACTCCAAGTTTTAACTAAAGGGTTGAGTCGTTTATCCTGATCTTTTGCCATATTTTTACATTTATTTATTAATAATCCGACCCAGTATCTATACGATCGACTAATTTTACACCATTAATTTTTAGTTTCATAATCTGAAGGCCAGGGTACCAGTTAGTTGAGATCTTTACATGGAAAACTGTAAAAACGTATAAATTATGGAACCCTGAAGCTACAGAAAGATAAATTGTCAACTGTATAATATTACAACTACATGTTTCTTTACGAGAATACCTGGAATGTCACTTTGTTCTATCTATTGCTGAGGTGCTAAAATTTGCAAAATATTACGGGCATCGGCAGTAGAATAAACAAGAAACTGTTAATAAGGAAGTGATTAATATAACTAAATACTGTAGTATATCTGTCCTATGCTATACATATAATCATGAAGGGCATTCATCTATTCATTGTCCTAGGAAAGTAAAATATGGAAACAGTGAACAAAGAGGTAAATGACAGCGGTCGGGAAACGAGAGCCGAGGTAAAACAAAGAGGTTTTGAATACCTTGAAAGTAAAACCCTCCATAAATTATTTAACTACAACTAAAATAGCTCTGTCACATTTAAGGACTAACTAAAAGCACTTCCACGTACTTCAACGAGATAGTCACGAGATCAGCAATAATACTTTAGCTGTATTATTACTTGATTGTTGTTGACCTTGTAGTTGTTTAAATATCGAATACTGTTATCTTGGAATCGGGTTTTTTCTTCTTCTTCTGGTTCTTTTACCTGATTCCTTTCATTATTGAAATAATTATTAACATTGATATTTATGTTGTATTGTTCATTAACGTTAGTATCAAGTATTGACCAGGCACATATTTATTAACTGCGTTTTTGATGAGAAACATCATATTCCAGGTGTTTGAAAGTTTCATTTTGAACTTTTGTGATTTGTCTTAATAAATTCGTTTTTTTTGTTCGATCAAAACGGTTGTTTATTTATTTTTTAGACGGTTACGCATTTACTAAATGTACTTTAAAACACACGTCCTGAAATAATCCGTTGCTAATCCAGTAACGACACTTCTATTTACTAAATATTCCTGAAATAACAATTTATAATAATGATAATTCACTAACAAAGGTTCTAAGTATATATTTAAATATCAACCGTCCTAAAATAACAATTTATAAAAAGGATAATCAAGTAACCAATGTTCTAACTATGTCGTTAAATACCAGCCTTCTAAGAATAATAATGATTATGGTAGTCATAATCTAATTAGGCCCGGCATGGCCAGGTGGATTAAGGCGTTCGACTCACAATCTGAGGGTCGCGGGTTCGATCCGCATCCCACCAAACATGCTCGCCCTTCTAGCCGTGGGGTGTTATATGTGTACGGTCA